AACCCTCCAAAACCCTAAACCCTTACTCTCGCCGTTTTGGATCCAAGCGCGGGTTGTCTGCGAAACCACACCAGGAGCCCGCTCCGAAAAAGCTGGGACCCCCTTTAGGGTTTGGGGTTTAGGNNTTAGGGTTTGGGGGGGGGGGGGGGTCGGAAAACCCTGCAGTTAATATTCTGTTTTGGGTTTATAGGATATAGGGTTTAGGGTTTGGGGATGTAATATTTAGGGATTAGTCCGTTGGTACTTTGGGCGCGGGCTTCTGGATTGTATACACGCTTTTCGAAGGCTCCGGCGGCCGCTACGAACATTGTTATTTCAGGGTTTCTAGGTTTTTAGGTGTTTTAGGTTTTTTAGCCTTTTTCTAGGGGCTCATTTTTTAGGGATCCAAAAAAAGGCCACACATAGCCAGGTTTTGGAGAGACCCGAAAAGGAAACCTTAAACCCTGAACCCGAAAACCCCCACAGCACCCTTAAATCGAGCCGCCAAACGTCACCTCCGCCGGGGCCCAGTGCGGAAGTATGCGAAGATGTGCATGGCTCTGTCTGCTCTTCGGACCAATCGGCTCGGCACTCCGTGTGCCTTCCTATGAGGAGGCACGGACGTTTGCGGGGGGGGGAAGACCCGTTTCGCTCCGGTTTGGGGTGTAGGGCTCAAGGTGCCGGAGGTTTGAAGCATGACTGCTTAGGGAGCGGGGTTTGGGGTTTAGGGGTTAGGGGCTAAGATCAGCTGACTAGTGACTTCTGGAGGGTGGCTGCCTTGCAGCTCCGGCATGGATCTGATTCTGGCTGCATCCACCACGGTAGGTTCTGTTTGGATCCCTGATCAGCAGAACCCATGGCTCTGAGCTTCCGCAATGGTACCGAAAGTCGGGTTTGGAAATAACTGCTTTGAGGTTTGGACTCGAACTTTCAGCTGTACCTGTCGTCTCCATTGTGGTTCTTTTTTTGGCTTGGCCAAGTTGATGATTCGGATCGTAGTTCCTTTGTGGGGATGCTTAGATGCTTTATAGGGTACCAGTAGGGCACTGTAGGGTCTAGGGTCTAGAGTTAGGTAGCACTCCTTGGCCAGGAGTTCCCCTCCGACTGCACCTTGCCGGCAAGCCGTGGTGGTACATCACACCCCAGAGCCATTAATGAAGGAATATGCCTTACATCATATATTATATACACGTTATATATATATATATAGACCTAGATTTCTTTATTTATGATGAGGCCGCCTATTATTTAAGACATATTCTCTGTCAAAACTCTAAACCCCATAAGCCATAAAGACACGTTCTAAACGCATCCTTGGTTCAAGCCAACGCATCCTTGGTTCAAGCCTAAGCCCCTCAACCCAAAACCCCACACTCTCCGAGTCCTAAGCCCTAAACCCTTTCTCGAAGGTTAGAAGTATGGGCCCCTACTATGGACCTTTAGGCCTTTTTAGGGACCCTTAAGGGTACATATAGGGTATATAGTAGGTGTATAAGAATCCCAGGGTTAAGGGCCCATACTAGGGGCCCATGGTTTCAACCGTAGACTTCCTTCACTAAACCCTAAACCCTAAGCCCTATAAGCCTTAAACCCTAAACCCTGAGCCTTATAAACCCTAAACCCTAAGCCCTAAGCCCTAAACCCTAAGCCCAAAGCTTCCTCCTTTCGGCCCCAGGACTATACATCGTAGTAGAGCCGGTAACCTACCCGCTTCCGGCTACTATGAGCCCTTTCT